CAGTATTTGTGAACCACTAAGTTTCCCTTTGTTAACAGGAAGGTTGTTTGGGATCTACTGAGCCTCCAGGGCTGGAGATATTTTCAGGCCCAGATCTCACATCATCATAGTTTTCTTAACTCAAAAATGAAGGCACAATAGCGACCTGCCCCCTAAATACTATATCAAACAAGTCAGGCACCAAAGAATATGTGTGATGCAGAGAACTTCATACCTTCACTGCTGCTTGAAAGAGAATTTCAAGCTCTCTCCTACTACTGCCCTGATTCTGACAATTTTTTGAATATCAGGCCATGATCCTACCACCTGTCATGGTCTTCCACTCCCTCAGTGCCCTCCCCGCTCCCTCCCTACCCACTTAAGGCCATGATCAATCACTGACCTTTTCTATTGTTTTCTTTGTGTCTATTTCATTTATCTCTGCTCTTACCTTTATGATTTCTTTCCTTCTACTAACTTTGGGTTTTGTTTGTTCTTCTTTCTCTAGTTGCTCTAGGTTGTAAGGTTTCGTTGTTTGAGATTTTTCTTGTTTCCTGAGGTAAAACTGTATTGCTATAAACTTCCCTCTTAGACCTGCTTTTGCTACATGCCATAGGTTTTTCGATCGTCGTGCTTTCATTTTCATTTGTATCTAGGTTTTTCTTTTCTTTTTTTTTTTTTTGTGGTACACGGGCCTCTCACTGTTGTGGCCTCTCCCGTTGTGGAGTACAGGTTCCAGACGCACAGGCTCAGTGGCCATGGCTCACGGGCACAGCCGCCCCGCGGCATGTGGGATCTTCCCGGACCGGGGCACGAACCCGTGTCCCCGGCATCGGCAGGCAGACTCTCAACCACTGCACCACCAGGGAAGCCCTATCTAGGTATTTTCTGATTTCCTCTTTGATTTCTTCAGTGATCCACTGGCTGTTGGATTGGCTGTATATTGTTAAGCTTCCAAGTGTTCATATTTTTTTACCGTTTTTTTCTTGTCATTGATTTCTAATCTCATAGCGTTTGGTCAGAAAAGATGCTTGATACGATTTTAATTTTCTTAAATTTACCAAGGCTCGCTTTGTGGCCCAGCATGTGATCAATCCTGGAGAATGTTCCATGTGCACTTGAAAAGAATATGTATTCTGCTGCTTTTGGATGGATGCTCTAGAAATATCAATTAAATCCATCTGGTCCATTGATGAAAGTAGGGTGTTAAAGTCCCCCACTATTATTGTGTTACTGTTGATTTCTCCCTTTAATGTTGTTAGCATTTGCCTTATATATTGAGGTGCTCCTATGTTGGGAGCATATATAGTTACAGTTGTTATATCTTCTTTTTGGACTGATCCCTTGATCATTATGTAGTGTTCCTTTTCTGATATGAATATTGTTACTCCAGCTTTCCTTTGATTTCCATTTTCATGGAATACATTTTTCCATCCTCTCACGTTCAGTATGTGTCCCCTGATTTGAAGTGGGTCTCCAGCTTTGATATGAATATTGTTACTCCAGCTTTCCTTTGATTTCCATTTGCATGGAATACATTTTTCCATCCTCTCACTTTCGGTATGTGTCCCTTGATTTGAAGTGGGTCTCCTGTAGACAGCATACATACAGGTCTTGTTTTTGTATCAATTCAGCCAGTCTGTGTCTTTTGGTTGGAGCATTTAATCCATTCACGTTTAAGGTAATTATTGATATGTATGTTCTTATTGCCATTTTGTTAATTGTTTTGGATTTGTTTTTGTAGGTCTTTGTTTCTTCCCTTCCTCTTTTGTTCTCTTCTTTATTGTTGTGTTTAGATTCCTTTTTCTTTTTTGTGTGTGTATCCATTGTACATTTTTGGTTTGTGGTTACCATGAGGTTTTGATATAGCAGTGTAATGTTTTAAGTTGCTGGTCTTTTAATATCAAACGCATTTCCAATACCTTGCATTTGTGCTCTCCTCACAACTGCTGGGTTTGATATATTTGCGTGCAGATGATTTCTTAACTTTACTGTATGTTTGCCTTTACCGGTAAGCTTTTCCATTTGTAATTTTCTTGTTTCTAGTTGTGGCCTTTGTTTTCTGCCTAGAGAAGTTCCTCCAGCATTTGTTGTAAAGCTGGTCTGATGGTGCTGAATTCTCTTAGCTTTTGCTTGTCTATAAACCTTTTGATTTCTCCACTGAATCTGAATGAGAGCCTTGCTGGGAAGAGTATTCTTGATTGTAGGTTCTTCCCTTTCATCACTTTAAACATACCGTGCCACTCCCTTCTGGCCTGCAGAGTTTCTGCTGAGAAATCAGCTGATAACCTTATGGGAGTTCCCTTGTGCGTTATTTGTTGCTTTTCCCTTGTTGCTTTTAATATTTTTTCTTTGTCTTTAATTTTTGTCAGTTTGATTAATACGTGTCTCAGCGTGTTCCTCCTTGTGTTTATTCTGCCTGGGGCTCTCTGCACTTCCTGGACTTGGATGATTGTTTCCCATGTTAAGAAATTTTTCAGCTATTATCTCTTTAAATATTTTCTCAGACCCTTTCTTTTTCTCTTCTCCTTCTGGGACCCCTATAATGCGAATGCTGGTGCATTTAATGTTGTCCCAGAGGTCTCTTAGGCTGTCTTCATTTCTTTTCAGTCTTTTTTCTTTATTCTGTTCCATGGCAGTGATTTCCACCATTCTGTCTTCCAGGTCACTTATCCGTTCTTCTGCCTCAGCTACTCTGCCACTGATTCCTTCTAGTGTATTTTTCATGTCAATTATTGTATTGTTCCTCTCTGTTTGTTTGTTCTTTAGTTCTTCTAGGTCTTTGTTAAATATTTCTTATACCTTCTCAATCTGTGCCTCCATTCTTTTCCCAAGATCTTGGATCATCTTTACTATCATTACTCTGAATCCTTTTTCAGGTAGATTGCCTATCTCCACTTTACTTAGTTGTTCTTCTAGGGTTTTATCTTGTTCCTTCATCTGGGACATATTCCTCTGCCATCTCATTTTGTCTAACTTTCTGTGCTTGTGGTTTCTGTTCCACAGGCTGCAGCACTGTATTTCTTCTTGCTTCTGCTGGCTGCCCCCTGGTGGATGAGGCTGTCTAAGAGGCTTGTGCAGTTTTCCTGGTGGGAGGGACTGGGTGCATAGTGCTGGGTCTTGTCCCTCTGGTGGGCAGGGCCATATCTGGGAGGTGTGTTTATTATTGGGCAGCTGTTTATTCAGGAAGACTTTAAGGGACTTCCCTGGCGGTCCAGTGGTTAAGACTCCGCTTTCCAATGCAGGGGGTGCAGGTTCAATCCCTGGCCAGGGAGCTAAGATCCCACATGCCTCGGGGGCAAAACACCAAAAAACATAAAGCAGAAGCAATACTGTAACAAATTCAATAAAGACTTTAAAAATGGTCCACATCAAAAAAAAAAAAAAAATCTTTAAAAAAAAAAGACTTTAAGCAGCCTGTCTGCTAATTGGTGAAGCTATGTTCCCACCCTGTTGGTTGTTTGGCCTGAGGCATCCTAGCACTCAGGAGCCTACAGGCTGTTGGGTGGGGTCAGGTCTTGGTGAGAAAATGGCAGCCTCCTAGAAGGCCCATGTCAATGAGCACTTGTCAGAGCCACTGCAGCCACTGTCCCTGTCCCCACAGTGAGCCACAGCCACCCCCTGCCTCTGCAGGTGACCATCCAACCCCAACAGGTAAGCCCGGCCCAGTCTCTTATGAGGTCACCACTTTTTTCCCTGGGTCCTGGTGTGCATGACACCCAGTGTGTGCCCTCCAAGAGTGAAGTTTGTTTCCACCAGTCCTGTGGAATTCCTGTGGTCAAACACCAGTGGCCTTCAAAGTCAGACCTGGGGGCTCCTCCTCCTGTTGCCAGACCCCGAGACTGGGGAGCCCAATGGGGGGCTCAGAACTTTCACTCCTGTGGGAGAACTTCTGTGGTGTAATTATTTTCCAGTTTGTGGGTTGCCCACTTGGCATGTATGGGATTTGATTTTATTGCGATTGCACCCCTCCTACCATCTCGCTGTGGCTTCTTCTGTGTCTTTGGATATAGGCTATCCTTTTTGGTAGGTTCCAGTGTTTTTTTGTCAGTGGTTGTTCAGCAGTTAGTTGTGATTTTGGTGTTTCCATAAGAAGGCGTAAGCTCACGTCCTTCTACTCCGCCATCTTGCCTCCTTCCTCCCCTGCTAGTTTTGCTTTGACCCCTCCAATCTCTCAAGTCCCTATGCCCCCACCATTCCACTAAAATGGCTTTTATCAGCTGCCAAATCCAATGAACAATTGTTATATTAATCAAACGGACTTGATTTATCAGTAGGTTCTAATCACTCCCTCTTCCTGAAAATATTTTCTTCCCTGTTTCTGAGTCCCAAACCTGCCTCTCAAGACCTGGTCCTCTACCTTTTTGTTTCTGCCTGATTTCTTGGATCCTGGGCTCTGCCCACCAGGCCTCCCTGGACCTCCTTAACTTCAACTGTCTGTCTACCTGGACCTCTGCCCACAGACAACCTACACCTTTCTAACTCTCCCCCACTCCTTCACCTGGATATCCTGACTCAACCTCTTATCATGAATTCTGAGGCTTTTCTGAAGAGCCAGCCAAGCCCTGGTCTATTTGGTCTCACTACTTAAGATCTAGTAAGGCCTGGCCCCATCTCTGACTGAGCCTTGAGCCCAAAAATAATGCGGATATGAACTTCTAGCTCCTTAAAGAACACAGTCAATCTTCCTAACAGTATTAGAAAACTCTTGGTTAAGAAAGTTGAAGTTGATTGCCAAAAATAATCAAACACTTATTTGTGTTTTCTTCAGTGGATCTATCTGTTTAGATTCTGTTATTTGAATGATACCAGAATATACTTTGCACTCTGATGCCTAGAAAAGAAGAGCACTCTTTTAGGTTTCTCAGGGAACTGGACAAGAATAGAAGATGTTTGGGCCCAAATAAAAATAAAATTAAATGGCTACTAGAGTTAGCCCAGGACTGGAAGTTATTCAATCCCAGATTCCAATTTTTGCCCTTACTAATCCCAGTACATTTCTTAGGACTAAAGCCACATACCTAGATGCATCAAGGAATGGTCTGTAGGCCAAGTTGATCCATTCTTCTCTATTGGATGAATATTTTGGCTCCCGGGATGTTTCTCTCACGGTGTCCAAATCCACTAAATAATGGCATTTATTGATGTCAATCTGCAACAGAGAAAGGCCAACTCTTCATCAGTAATTGCAAAGGTTCTTTCAGGGTAAGAAACATCAACTATAATCCTAAGAATTCCCACAGGGTTTTAGAAGCACAAACATCTAAGTCCTCAGAAAATGTTACCAGTGCTCTCTTCACTCAGCTAAGAGTGCTGGGTGTGGGGGTGTTATTTAGGCTCCTGAGGGCAGGGGTGAGACATGCACTCACCCAGCCAAAGTTCACTTTGCTGTGCACCTGAAACTAGCACAATATTGTAAATCAATGATAGTCCCAAAAAATACAGTACAGTTTCTATGAGATTAAATAAAAACCCAAAGATGGAAATCATTACTGTGATATTGATTTATAATAAAATTTTTTTTTGGTCTTCTTCCAATGTTTCTGGTTCAGAGCACCCCAAACCCTTGTAATTTCCTAAGCCATGAGAGCAATGGGAGCATCTTTTGTTATAATATTCAGTCTCTTGTCCTCAGTTCCTGAAATCCCTTCAAAGCCATAATGGTGAAAGGGGTGTCTTGTTATTCATAACAAGCCCCTTTCAACCGCAACTGAGCTTATGTTAATGAGGTGACTTTTGAAAATCCTGTAAAGATGGGAGGAAGTGCTGGTCACCAGTTGAACTAACCATGTGAAAAGAAGGTTGGACCTTTCAGCCACTGGGGGAGGGGGAGGGGCTGGAGATTGGCCAATGATTTAATCAATCATGCCTGTGTAATGAAGCCTCCATAAAACCCTAAAAGGACAAGTTCGGAAAGCTTCCAGGTTGGTGAACACGTGGAGATTCGGGAAGAGTGCTGCACCTGGAAACGGCATGAAGATCCCCACTCTTCCCCTATACCTTGCCCTATTCATCTCTTCCATCTGGCTGTTCCTGAATTATACCCTTTTATAATAAACCAATAATCTAGTAAGTAAAATATTTCTCTGTTTTTGCCACTCTAGCAAATTAATCAAACACAAGGAGAGGGTCATGGGAACCTCTGCTTTATATTCAGTCAGAAGTATAGGGAACAACCTGGACTTACAACCAGCACCTAAAGTTCAAGGAGGGGGTCACGGCTCCAATCTGTAGCCAGGCAGTCAGAAACAGGTAACAACCTGGGCTTAAGATTGGCGTCTGAAGTAGGCAGGAGAAGGGGGCAGTCTTGCAGGACTGAGCCCTCAATCTGTGGAATCTGATGGTATCTCTGAGTAGACAGTGTAAGAATTGTGTTGAGTTGTAAGACACCCAGATGGTGTCTGAGAATTGCTGTTACTGTGGAGAACCCCCCAACACTCAATATTAGAAAGTGGATCCCAGAACCCTCTTAATTACTAATGTAGTCAGCTAAAGAAAAGTAAATCTCAAAGGAAAGTTGCATTTTTTACATGCAACTATGTTACACATATTATTTTTTAAATCATTATATAAAGGCCTATAGGGGATTATTAATTCCTATTTTATAAATGAGGAAGCCAAGACTCAGAGACAAATTATATAACTTCATTTTTTTCAAGATCTATATTAAGCCCCTACAATGTACGAGGCATTAGTAAGTTAAAGCTAATGATACAGAATTAAATAAATAGCATGCAGTTCTTGCCCTAAAAGGATTTATAATCCTAACCAAAATCACATGAGTTTATAGTAGAGCCATATTTGGACTCAGGTCAGTGTGACTTCCAAAGTCATACATCAAGACTGCCAAAAATGACCGAATCAGAGGGGAAGTACCCTCAGGAGCTCATTTAAATGTTTCTTAAAAATTAAAACCAAAAATGATTTGTCCTAGAAATCCAGGTTTCAGCCAAGATAAAAATCATTTGAAATATGAATAGAAACATAGCAAATCTCATGTTTAACAGTGAAGGGTTGAAAGCTTTTCCTTTGGAATCAGGAAAAAGTCAAGGCTGCTTATTATCATTACTCTATTCAACACTGTACTAGAGGTTCTAGTCAGCAGGGTAAGATACAAGGAAGAAACAAATGGCAGAAGAAATGAAAAGAAGCAAACAAAAGTCCTTCATTCATCACAATGACTGATATATATAAAATCCAAAAGAATCAACATAAATTTTTGGGATTAAGAGAGTTTATCAAACTTTAAACTATTTATAGAATGTAAAATTAACATCATATGTTCCTATATAACAGTGGTAAACAACATATTAAATTACATTTTAAAAAATTATGTATTTTCAAATTACATTATAAAAATATCATTTAAAAGGATTTGAAAACATGTGTCTTGGAATAAATCTAACGAAATATGGGCAAGTCCTCTGTAAAGAATTATAGAATTTTATTGACTAGTCTATCAACTGATGAATTTATAATATGGTATATTCATATAATCAAAATGTGGTATATACATGCAATGGAATATTATTCAGTCTTAAAAAGGGTAGATACTACAACAAAGATGAGCCTTGAAAACATTGTGCTGAGTGAAAGAAATGAGACACAAAAGACCATATTTTGTGTGACTCCACTTAACATGAAATGTCCAGTAGAGGCAAATCCATGAAGACAGAAGGCAGATTAGTGGTTGCTAAGGATTGGAGGAGTGACAACTTAATGCACATGGGGTTTTTTTTTTGGGGGGGGGAGATGATGAAATGCTCTGAAATTAGATAGTGCTGGTGGTCGTATAACATTATGAATGTACTGAAAGCCACTGAAAAAGTTCTGGAGGTAGAGAGTGGTGATGGTTGCACAACAGTGTGACTGTTCTTAACGCAACTGAAGTGTATACCTAAAAATGATTAAAATGGTAAATTTGATGATAAAATATTGTTGAAATATGAACTTTACCTCAAAAAATTTTTTGATAAACAATAAAGTAGACCTTATTACATGGAGAGATAAACCTTATTTCTAGATTTAAGACTCACTATTATAAAGATGTAAATTCTAAATAAATTGATAGATTAAATGCAATCTCAATAAAAATGCCAACAGACTTTTTTGATGAAACTTGACAAGCTGAGTCTAAAATGTATATGGAAATGCAAAAGGACAAGGATAGCCAAGGCACTCTTAGAAAAGAACAAGGTGGGGACTTATTTACTATAAAGTTATAGTAATTAAGACAATGAGGTATTAGTGCAGGAATATAACAGACCACTGAATAGAACAGAGCCTGGAACAGATACAGGCACATATGGACCCTGATCTATGACAGAAGTGACACCTCAGAGCAGTGGTGAGAGTATCTCTCTTCACTAATTGGTGCTGGGACAACTGGATATCCATTGGGGGAAAAATGAAATTGGACCTCTGTACACAGTGAATAAACAACAAGGTCCTACTGTATAGCACAAAGAACTATATTCAATATCTCATGGTAAACCATAGTGGAAAAGAATATAAAAAAGAATATGTGTGTATATATCTATATCTATATATAACTGAATCACTTTGCTGTATAGCAGAAATTAATACAACGTTGTAAATCAACTATACATCAATAAAAAAATTGATAATGTAAAAAAAAATCAACTTCAGATGGATTACAGAACTAAATGTGAAAAACAAAGCTCTTGGAAGATAATATGGCAGACTATCGTCAAAATCTTACGTATGGCAAAAGTCATTTTAGACAAACACAAAAAGTATTAACTATAAAAAAATGATGAATAAATTTGGCTACCTTAAAATTGGGAATATCCGTTCATCAAAGACACGAATAAGAGAGCAAAGAGATGAGACACAGAATGGAAGAAGATACATGTGACACATTAACAATCAAGTATTCATATCTAGAATACATAAAGAACACCTGCTGATCAGTAAGACAAAAATGGACCATTCAACAGAAAAATAGGCAAATGACTTGAATAGGTACTTCATAAGAAGAAATCTAAACAGCCAAAAACAAATGAAACAGTACTCAACCTCATGAGTAACCAAGGAAATGCAAATCAAAATTACAACGAAAAATTACAATACCAAATGTAGGCCAGAATGTGGAACAATTCTTATACGTTGCTGGAGGGAGATTAAGTTGGTACAAGATTTTAGAAAACTATTTGGCAGAATCTACTAAAATTGAACATACGCAATTCTTATGATCCAACAATTCTACTCCTAGGTATTACGATGAACCATATGGAATCATTAATATGTGACTGATCCACAAAAATGATACTTTCAGGGACTTCCCTGGCAGTCCAGTGGTTAGGACTCTGCGCTTCCACTGCAGGGAGGCACAGGTTCGATCCCTGGGCAGGGAACTAAGAATTTGCAAGCTGCACGACACAGGAAAAAAAAAAGGTAATTTCACATGGTTCAAGGTAATGTATATCCAACAGGAATTCATGAACCAAAAGACAAGTTCAAGAATGTTCAAAGTGGGGACTTCCCTGGTGTTGCAGTGGTTAACAATCTGCCTGTCAATGCAGAGGACATGGGTTTGATCCCTGGTCTGAGAAGATCCCACATGCCGTGGAGCAGCTAAGCCCGTGAGCCACAACTACTAAGCCTACACTCCAGAGCCCGTGAGCCACAACTGCTGAGCCCACGTGCCACAGCTACTGAAGCCTGCACACTTAGAGCCCATGCTCCTCAACAAGAGAAGTCAACGCAATGAGAAGCCTGCACACCACAACGAAGAGTAGCCCCTGCTCACCACAACTAGAAAACGCCCACGTGCAGCAACGAAGACCAAATGCAGCCAAAAATAAATAAATAAATAAATTTGTTTTAAAAAAAAGAATGTTCAAAGTGGCATTATTTACAGCTGGCCCAGACTGGAAAGAACCAAACAACTATCAAAAGTAAAATAATATAGTCATACAATGAAATACTCTAATAAAAGAGAACAAACTACAGCTATATTCAACAATGTGTAATTACAAACAAAACATTAAGTGAAAGGATCAAGACACATAAAAATGCAATATGATTCCATGTATATGAAGCTCAAAAATAGGCAAAATGAATTTATGTTGTTTAGGAATGCATATAAAAGCGGTAAATCTAAAGAGAAAAGCAAGGAGATTATTACCA